GTCATGTATTATTTACATAATGAAGAATAAGGCATTTACTTGTGACAGTTTCATTGCTCGGCCCAAATGTCATTGTTCTGTCTTTTTTATATTCTTTCCATAGATTCTAGGGTTTTGCCATCTAGAGTCACCACAGAATCTGGTAGCCTTATAAATGAAATGCCGTATTTTTCAGACTATAAGACTCACAAGATTTCGAAGAGGAAAACAAGAAAAAAAAATAGTTTTTGGTCTCCGTGCGTCTGGTTTTTGCCCTCCCCAACCCCCAGGTTTTTCACAAAAATGAGATGCACAGAGGGTTTGGGAGGCCTACAGAGTGCTGGGGAGGGCAAAAACGCAATGTGGGGAGGGGGGTTTGTGAGGCCAAAAATGGACCTGTTTTTCGCTAAAACGGGCCTGTTTTTCACAAAAATGGAATGGGCAGAGAGTTTGGGAGGCCTGCAGAGTGCTCCTGGGGGCCCGTTTTTGGCCTCCCAACCCCCCCGCCTCGCGTTTTTGCCCTCCCCAGCGCACAGGAGCACTCTGCAGACCTCCCAAATTCTCTGCACATTCGTTTTTTTTTTTAATTTGATTTATATGCCGCCCTTCTCCGAAGACTCAGGGCGGTTTACAATGTGCTAAGCAATAGCCTTCATCCTTTTGTATATTTTATACAAAGTCAGCTTATTGCCCCCACAACTGGGTCCTCAATTTACCTATCTTAGAGAGGATGGAAGGCTGAGTCAACCTTGAGCCTGGCGAGATTCGAACCTGCAGTAATTTCAGGCAGCTGGTCTTAATAACAGGGTGCTTTAAACCACTGTACTACCAAGGCTCCTGTTTTTGCGAAAAACAGGCCTGTTTTCGTGAAAACAGGATGCATGGAGCGAGGTTTCAAGAGGCCAAAAATGGCTGTATTCGGTGTATAAGACACACCAACATTTCCACCCTCTTTTAGGGGGGAAAAAGTGTGTCTTATACTCCGAAAAGTATGGTAAGTAAAACTAATCACATTTCTTGATTGCAGCCATGTTTAAATTACATTTTGGATACATGTCACTAGATGAAGAGCCAACTTCCTTGAGAGGTCTATAATGCTGGAAAAATCGGAAGGAAAGAGAAAAAGATGGATGGGCCCAGTTACACCAGCATTACACCATTGGAAGGCTTGCATAGTCGGTTTCAGGATAGATTATTCTAGAGAAAAATATGTGTGGTTGCTAAAGATTGACAACACAATCAATCAAGTCACATATTTAAAAAACAATCCTGATCTCATTTGCTTTAACTTCTCTTCGTGTCTCACTTTCACATAAGAAATATTCATCTCCTTTTGATTCATTGTATCAGTCAACTAAAGGTATTTCAAAATATTTAGTTATGGGGAAAGGATACGAAAAGGATTTTCCTGATTTATTTCATTCCACAATGGAACTTAAATTCAAGATGATAGGTGAGAATAATTTTATTAGGGGACAAGTTGCAAGGTTTGCTGCTGCAACCAAGAAATTGAATGCTTAGTTAGTTTTGCAGTTGATTGTAAAGATGTTTAGGGTTGTCGGGTCTGCTTCCAAAAAATAGCGGACAAGCGGGGGGGTGGTTTAAGTAGTAAAAAAATAAATAAAATTTTTACAATTAAATTATATATTTTCTTACAAACATTTTAACACGTATTAAAATAATCACTTCAAAACTTTACTTAAAATTCAAAACATCAAACATATAATAATATGTAAAATATTAAATTACATTTTACTTTGCTGTCATGTGTATTTTTTATTTGACTGCACAGCTTTGATCAATTCTTTGTGTTTAGGGAATAATTCTTTAATTTCAGTACAACGTTTAGAAATATTAAAAAATATACAAAGTTCACTTCGAACTGATACAAGCAGTCGGTTACGTTCGTCAGTCCACAAATTTCCCATGACGTTGAAAATTTGTTCAACATTTGCATTTGATACCGGAATTGATGCACAATACTGGAACAGTTTCAGTAAACTCGGAGCTGGCTCTTTCTTGAAAAAGTACGTCCACTTATCAAGGGATGAATCGCCCTGCAGATGAACATAAACTTCTTCTAAGGCAGAAATTTAATCGAAGAGAGTGTTGGAGACCACCAAGGACTCCACAGTTCAATCCTGAGCTACATATATTTTCTTTTATTGGAATAGTCAAAGCAGAAGAACTGAAGGAACAAAGGTTTAAAACGTGTAGCGTAACAAGAAATGCAGATGTGAAAATGTACTGAAGATAGACATATCGGTAGTGGGTTTGACAGAGAATAATTGCAAGCTATTTATAAATGGGAAAGAAAACAAGTGGGTATATGCATAATTTTGTATTTATTTATTTTGTCATGTTTATGTAGTGTATATTGGAGGGAGTGACCCTTTGAGAGCTGTATGCAACAAAATTTCATTTGAATGTATGCCGATTAGTGTTCATTCAAAGTGACAATAAAGTTAGTCTAAGTGTGTGAATTTTTGTGTATCTTGGTAGGGTGTTTACAAAAGATGAGGAAATGGGTGGGGAATAGTTTCCTATGTACAAAATCTGGTGGAAAAGTGGTTAATGTGCTGAAAGGAATAAATATTGAAAGAAGCAAAACCGGTTATGTATGCAAGTGTATCGCTCCCCATCTCAATGCAAGTTGAAGTTGGATATATCAGGAGAAACATTAAATTCCATTAAAAAATAACAAAGAAAAAGTGAAGAGGCTAAAGAGAAGATTGAGAAAATTGTGGCCTGGATACTGTTGATGAGCTCCTCAGAAATGAAGAGTTAAGAAATTTAAAGAGCAAAAGACAATGAATGAAGCAGTGCTATCAATGCGATGAAAAAAGGATGGTTGGCAAGGAGAAAAAGAAAAGGAGAAAAATGCTGAATAGTGTTGATGTAGGCTAGTTTCATATCCTTTTATTTTTCTCTCTCTCTCTCAGACCTTTAATTTCATTGGCATGGCATTTAGTACTACTTATACTACTTAACTCTGCTTAAAGGGAGTACCACAATTGGTATGTATCTATATAGTTATCTGTAGCTTCTAGGGACTAGGATGCCGCAAAGCCAATGTCGTTGACTATCAAAATTAAATTGCAAAAATCTCAGGAGTCAAATCTTAAGATCTCAGTGAAGTCTCATAAGATGTTGGCCATTTTTAATGCAGCTGTACCCTTGTTATTTCTCTCTCTTTGGGGCATCTATCACATCTGCAATGGTGCCTGCCCAATGGCAATATGTTAGACCTTGGCAGCTGCCAAAAAGGCTAATGTGATCCTAGGTTGCATCAACAAAGGGATAGTTTTAAGATCAGATATAGTGGTCATGCTGCACCGGTAAGGCCATATTTGGAATACTGCATCCAATTCTGGTCACTGCAATATAAAAAAAAGATATTGGCACCCTAGAAGAGTGCAGAGAACAACAAAGATGATAAGAGGCCTGGAAGGCAAATCATGATTGAGGGAAGTATCGTGTTTCCCTGAAAATAAGACCCTGTCTTATATTTTTTGAACCCCGAAATAAGCGCTTGGCTTTATTTTCCGGGAGGTCTTATTATTTTGGGGCGCGTGAAGCAAAATGGGGCTCCTCTTGCCATCTTACCTGATTTCCAGCTCTGCGTTTAAATATTTTCAGGGAGGGCTTATTTTCAGGGGGAGGCTTATTTTAGCACATGCGCTCACAAGCCCGATTGGGCTTATTATCAGGGGATGTCTTATTTTAGGGGAAACAGGGTAGCTATGTCTAGTCTAATGAAGAGAAGAACTAGGGATTATATATTAGAAGTCTTCCAGTACTTTAGGGCAGGGGTGTCAAACCGGTGGCCCACGGGCCAGATGCGTCACACGTATGCCACACCCACCCCAGCTCCATGAAGGCAAAACACACCGCAATATGTCATGTGACATCAATGTGACACAGCGAGTTTGACACCCGTGCTTTAGGGGCTGTCACAAAGAGGGAGTCAACTAATTCTCCAAAGCACATGAGGGCAGATACTTTGAAGAATAACTTGATTCCCTCTTTGTGAAGCTCTGAGGGCAGGACAAGAAGTAATGGGTGGAAGATAATTAAAGAGAGATCCAACTTAGAACTAATGAGAAATTTCGGCTTGCCTCCAGAAATTGTGCGGGCTCCAACACTGGAGGTTTTCAAGAAGACACTGGACAGCCATCTGGAATGCTATGGAGTCTCCTGCTTTAACGGAGAGTTGGATTAGAAGACCTTGAAGATCCCTTCTAACTCTGTTATTCTATGTTCTAATTCCACAAGCAGGAAGTTCCATGCTCTCATCATGCTTCTCTTCTCCCCCTCGGCCATGTTTTTGTAGCTGTGCTATTTGCAGATGGATGGAGCTGAGGCAGGCCCTATCTGCACAAGGATATCCTGTGTTTCCCTCTTCCTTCTCCTTCGCCCCCACCATGACGTTATTTCCTGACAGTTATCAGGAGAAGCAGAGGAAATTTCAGTGGCCATCAGAATGTTTGTATACGTCAAAGACATCTTAAGTGACTTTGAGTAAACAGTGGGAAGGTTGTGGAAGGCAAAAGGTCAGGTTGGTGGGAAGCCTAATTTCAAAGATTAAGAAGCCCACTCCTTTTTCAGCAAAGACTCGGTTTTGGTTTGGACAACTCGAAGTCATACCTGGTCCTCTATATTTATTTTGAGGTTCCACAGACCTGAAGCCTTGATAAGAAAGATGGCAGCGTGAAGGTCTCTACAGATGACAGAGAAGAATCTCTGGGAAAATAAATGGTTTTCCTGGGCTGCTAGCCAGGTCAGATGGTCACTTTATGCTTTTATGACTAAACGAGTTAGATGCAGTTGGTCCCTTTTGTTATGGGGCAGTCCCTTGAGGCGTACCAGACCAATCCTGGTTTGGGACTTCCCTCCTCTCTTTTAAGTTCTGTCAAGGACAGGATTATGTCACTGAGACATGTACTTCCTCCCTGACATGTCTTGCTGTAAAAAAAAAAGCTCCCCCTCCAACCACTCCCAGAAGAGGCGGGTAGGAGGAATATGATGTTTTCTGAAGTTAAGAGCCTGTCAAGGCAGGAAATGGGATGTTGCCGACTCCTCACAGCACAGTGAACCACTCTTGCTGACAACGCACAGGATGTCACTGGGCGATACTGGGACGAGGGGATACTTCTTGCCACTGCTCTTTGTGTGCTGCTGGAAGGTGTCGGCTGCAGGAGTTGCTGATTATGATGGTAAGGAGTCAAACCTCCCCAACCCTTTTTAGTTTGCAAGTGCAGGACCGGCCTGAGGAACCAAGCGGTTGGGATGGTGGTTGTGGGGATTTGACTCTGTTTCAGGGTTTTTAAATTTTCAGTAAGGACCCTTCCAGAGTTCTGTTAAAGATAACATCTAGTTGTGCCACAGCTCTCCCTAGGATGCCTCAAGTGAAAAATAGATGGCTGGGCATTTTTTTTTCCTCCTTAAAGAATTGCATTGTTTATAGGAGGAATTTTCAAAGTCCAGAATCCCAGAGTTCTGCGAGATCTCTATAGGGCTCCATGAAATGCTAAGAACAAAAGTTTTTCCTGCTCAAACAAAGCATATTTTCTATCACTAGAGCTTTTACTCCTAAGAGGAGAGCCTACGGTCTTGTAGATCTTGCAGCAGTGTAGCTACTTGCGGCTGAGAAATATCAAATGTGGCAGAGATTTCCTGCCTCTTTGACAGGGGGCAGACAGTTCTAGATTTGCAGCCACCAAAGCCTTCCAGGATCTTGACACTATTTTTTTTTAAGTATCACCCTGGCGGCGGGGGGGGGGGGGGGATGGCATGCTAAGACACCGTAACTCTCTAAAATGTGAAAGCAAGCCAATATTTTGCATGCTATGTTGATATCATCACATTATTAGCTATTCATCCTAATTCCTTTGGAGGCTGGAGAAAAAGTAAAAAACATCCCTTAGCAAAGAAATTGTCAGAATGATTGCAGTCAAGAGCCACCAGAATTCAAAGGAAAGTTTAGAAGAGGAAAATTCTTGCTTCGGTTATTTGCAAGCTTATTTTGATGGCCTGAGCTTCTTCCCTAGCTCTGATATACAAAACACAGTTGGTTAATGAAATATACACAGCTGGTTGAACCATTTCCTGTTGCTTTCATAAATCCAATGGGGGAGATCTTGCGTAGAGACTATCAAGACACTGTTGTTAGTTCTACAGTGTTCATATTATAAATTACTTTTGCAAATTTAATGAAGCTAAGATGGGGAGCCAAATGCTGTAGAAAAACAAAGGGTAGATAATTTGCAGTGAAAATCAGCAGGATGAAAACAAACATAAATAGGAAGTCTTCAGAACAAGAAAGAATGCAGATAAGATGGAGAAATAAGTCCTAGTTTTGTATGAAAAAAATTAAGACCCCTTAAATTGATCAAAAACTGAGTATGAGCCAGCAATGTGACATGATTGTTTTAAAAATGCACTTGGAATAATGCCACATTTTAAAAGACTATCTAGACTATGACTGGCACCATAGCCAGAAAGGGAAGGAATTCTTATGAAAAAAAGTGTTTTTAAAAGCTTAGGTCAGAAAAACAAATTAAAGCAATATGATAACAATCTTCAAACATTTGAAGGTCTGCCAAACAAGCAGATGTCAGCTGAATAATATGAGAAATATCCTTAGTGGTATACACAAGTGGACAGTAGCACTCTGAACATTTCATCCTTCATACAGTAGGTCAAGTAGAGTCTAGATTGGTCTCAGGGAAGCTGTACAGTGAATGCAAGAGAGAGTCTGGCGTAGTGGTTAAGGCACAAGATTAGAAACCAGGGGACTGCTAACTCAGTGACCTTCTCGCTCAGCCCTAGGAAACAGGCATGGGCAAACCAATTCTGAAACTCCTGCCAAGAAAACTGGAGTCCAGGCAGTCTCAGGAATCAAAAACTGAAACAAAGGCTCACACAGTCCCCAAACAGAGGGGGAAGAAGGGAGGTACACCTATAAGGGACTTGCTTTTTAAAACTAGATGGCGTGGAGGCTGGAGGTGGAGTGGGGACTCAGAATCACTGACTGAATTCCTTCTGTTGTTAGATTATAGTTCCAATGGAACCGATGAGAATCAAACAGAGCCATGGAGTGGTCTGTGCCCTCGCACAATCCCAGGGGAGACAGTCACTGAGAACAACACTACTTTCCTGAGTATCTCGAAAGATTCCCATGGTTCACTCAATGGCACGCTCATCGTCGTTGTCCTTCCATCTTTTTACACCCTTATCTTCCTCATTGGACTCCCTGCCAATGCTCTGGCACTCTGGGTGCTCACCACAAGGGTGGAGAAACTGCCCTCCACCATTTTCCTGATCAATTTAGCAACTGCTGATCTCTTCTTATGCCTGGTGCTTCCTCTGAAGATCTCTTACTACTTCTTGGGCAACCACTGGCCCTTTGGGGAGGCCATGTGCCGCTTTACCACTATGGCCTTCTACGGCAACATGTACTGCTCCATTATTTTGCTTGCCTGCATCAGCATGGACCGCTACCTTGCTGTAGCCCACCCGTTCTTCGCCCGTTCCTTCCGCAGCTCTGCCTTTGCCATGGGCACCTGTGCTGTAGCTTGGGTGGTGGCTGTCCTCTTTACCCTGCCTCTGATTCTCTTCCGCCAGTCCTTCCCACTCTATGGAACGAAGCAGACTCTATGCCACGATGTCCTGCCATGGCAATGGGAAGAGCAGCATTACTACTATTACTTCATCACCCTCATTGCCTGTGGCTTCCTGACTCCTCTCCTCATCATGGTGTTCAGCTGCGGGGTTACACTCTGGGTCTTGTTGGGCAGCGGTGAAAAGTATGCTTTGGCTGCCAAGCTGACAGCCCTCATGCTTATCTCAGTCATGGCCTTTTATAGCCCAAGCCATATCCTGTTACTCCTCGACTACTCCCGCTCCTGCCTCAGGAAGGATGGGACGTTCTACGGGGCCTACATGGCCAGCCTGGCCTTGAGCACCTGCAATAGCTGCATCGACCCCTTCATTTACTATTATGTCTCAGAAGAATTCAGGTTAAATGTGAAGAGGAGACTCTTTGGTCACCGGAAGGATTCTGCTATGTCCATGAAGACCTCAAAAGAAACGCTGCCCTCAAAAACCTTCCATCACTCCCAGTGACCTGGGTGAAGGAGAGACTGTCTTCAAGGTACTGGGAAGGAAATAAAGCAAAAAAGGGGCTGGCTGGGGCTTTTCATGGTCTTTCTTACCAATTTTTTTTTTTTTTTTTTTTTTTGAGGAAGCAGCTAATGGTCAATTTGTTCTTGGAGTTCTTAAAACAATATAGCTGGGTAAAACCTTCCCAATCTCAGTTCCATTCCAATTTCCAAGAAGCCTAATTATGTTCCTCATTAATTCTGAAGTCTTGTATAGCAGATAGTTCTTCCCTTTATTTCGTGGCTTAACTGTATGGATTTGGGAAAGTCCAAGTACATCTCTAATAAATGGATTCAAAGAAAACTTCCAAAAATAAGTTTGTTGCTGATTGAGTCTTCATTAATCTCATCCTTTCTGTTCCTGGATCTCCCTCAGACCTCCACTCACAAATTATTACCTCAGGAAGAAACCAAAAGGAGTCACAACTGTTTTAAAAATCGATTTTTAATAAAATATTTTATCAATATCTAAATCAAACTTCTTCTCCCATCCCACCCAACCCAACCACTGGATGTTCCAATTCACTAAAGAATTGTGCTGAACCATAAAAGCAAACTGTACCCCTGCAATGCCTAAGCAAGTGGGGAACAGGCTGTTCTACTGAGCACTTGGAATGAACAAACAGGTATCTGCCTAGATGTACAGTGGGCAAGAACAGGTAAGCCCAATGAGCAGAGATAGAAATATGTCAAGCTTGGGGTCACCACATCAACCTGGTTCCATTTGACAATAATTTGGGGTAAATAAAAATGTTTGTTTTACAATAAATATTGGGTACAGCCTATATTTTTGCATATGGTTCATCAAGGCTGGCATATCTGCATTGCGGAAGAACCGGGGCTGGCAGTAGTAGTTCTCGAACTTCAATTCCCTTAGAAAATATTCTCTGACCTCCTTCAAATTTATAAATAGCTTATTTTGCCATCAGTCACGGATGACGTAAAACAGGAGGGGAAGCTGTAGCTGCGGATGTTTGCAAACTACAAATCCTGGAATTCATCAGCTCTAGCCAAGTTGGCTTGGGAGTGTAGAGTTTGCAATTAGCAACATCTGGAAAGCTACGTGTTTACCATCCATGGTTGAGAGGTTTAGAGGGGGAAGAAGGTAGAAGTGGACCAGCTCCAGTGCTTTGGAAAATATGAGGTGGACACATGCTTTTCTTTCCATACAATGAAGGATAACTGGGAAGGGAAGATAAGGTGAGACTGGAAAGCCAATTCCTATCCCACCAACACCATCCTTTGAACAGAGGAAACCTGTTCTGTCCAAGCTCTTCTTCCAACCTCCAGGCTAAGCGGGGTGTGTGTGTGTGTGTGTGTGTGTGTGTGTGACAGAGGGGTGCAGTAATATGATGCACAAAACAAATGATCTGGAGCTCTTGTGCTTTGGTTGCTATGGGGTTGCCTGGGTCATAGAGATCAACGGTGCCATCCTTTCTCCACTCACAACTAGGGCAGAGTTGGTTGGAAGACAAGAGTCAATTTGAATGATGGTCCTCTGGGGATGAGCAACTCCAAAAGAGAGTCTGGATTCCAGCTTGCCCTATGTAGCTTGTGCAACACAAGTGGGAAAGCGGCAAGGAGGCTACCGTGAGAGCCATGGGTAGGGCAAGACAGAGTTCCATCTTCCTTTGTCAGCAAGACACAGAACAATTGAACGGCCTGGATCCCTTGTGGAGTTTGGCTCTGTTAGACTGAAAGGAAGGAGCTTTCTACAGAAAAAAACAGAAAACATGAAAGGAGGAAAAAGAGAAAACTGTGAGGAGGAAAGGGAGCAAAGAACTACCAGGCCTCCCACCCCCAAGGCCACATTGAACCTCTCACCATTCACTTCCCAGTGATCACAGCAGCTCCCGGGTATCTGCCGTTATCTTGCGCCTCTGTGCCGCTTGCTGTTGTCAGTTCAAAAGCGTCTCCTTCAGAAGTGTAAGGGTCTGCCTCGTATTCATAGGAGTAGTAGGAGAAGTCCAACTGAAGGGTGGGACTTTCATCTGTGAGGTACATTAAAAGGAGGTTCAAGAAAATGGAGAAAAAGTAGATTAAGTTCAGGAGGGACAACAGTTTCTAATTCCAGTCAGTCCTCGATTTCTTTACATCATTAAGAAACATCCCTAAAGTTAACCACAGTAATCTAAAGATGGAGGGAGTTTTCTCGCTTGCTTATTACTCACAACACCACAAACATTTCTTGATCACAGAGGTTGACTTCCTCCTTGGCTCCTGAGGTTGACTTCATCTTGCTGAAGCCCAAGAATAAGGTAAGCTCAGCATCTGTACCCAAACTGGTGTCAAAGTAAGGCCTCCCACCTTGTTCCAATGCCATGTACAGGTAGTCCTCGACTTACAGATCGTAATTGAGCTCAAAATTTCTGTTGCTAAGCGAGACATTTGTTAAGTGAGTTTTGTTTCATTTTACGACCTTTCTTGACACAGTTGTTAACTGAGTCCCAGCAGCTGTTTAAGGAGTCACATGGTCGTTAAGTGAATCTGACTTCCCCATTGACTTCGCTGGACAGAAGGTCGCACAAAGTGACCACATGGCCCCAGGATCCCGCAACCGTCATAAATATGAACCAGTTGCCAAATGTCTAAATTTTAATCCCATGACCGTAGGGATGCTGCAACGGTCATAAATGTGAAAAATGGTCATGTCCAGGGGTGGTTCTAATTTTTTTTACTACCGGTTCTGTGGGCGTGGCTTATTTTGTGGGTGTGACTTGGAGGTCATGTGACTAGGTGGGCGTGGCTAGCTGGTCAGAGTCATTTCTGGAAAGTCCTCGCACTTACGACCCGACTCATTTGTTCGCTTTTAACACTGATCAGCTGTAGGACGGCCCTTTGAAGCCCTGCGGCAAGAGTTTAAACAGTTTTTTTCCCTCTAGTCATCAGCTGGGACGCAGGAGGCAGCAATAGATTGGGGGTGAGGCCAAATAAAAGGTAAGAATAACACGGGGGTGGGTGGGGTGCAGGGGGGCAGAACCGGTTCGGTGACGTCATATCGTCACCGCTACCGGCTCAGGAGAACCGGGCTGAACCGGGAGGAACCCACCACTGACCCAACATATCATTGGGGGACGTTTTGCAGATGGCTTGAGCCCTCTGTTTATGCATCTATCAAAACTTGATATCTCCTCCAAACCTACAAGACATCTAACATGGAGATGGGGTCTGCAAAAAACAGGAGAAATTCTTCTACTACTGGATAACAATGCCATCCTATCAAACAGCTGTCTGGCAGATGTTTCAGGGAGGTTGGGAGCTGCCCAATAAAGGAGAAGGACCTAAATCAGGGATAATATAACAGAACCAAGAGGCTGCCAGAGTGTCTTTCTCCTATATTGGTGTAACTAGATGTATCCAATTCCTGCAATAGTGCCATAATCGAATATTTTTCCCCCACCAACTTGTAATGTTCTGAAGGAAGAAGGTAAAAAAGGTAAGAGGCTCAGCCAATTATTTTACTTATCATATGCTCTAAATTTATCAACAATATAACATCATTCTGCTTAGGCTTGGAACTTGTGCAATAGAGTCAGGAGAGGGAACAGCTAAATATATTCATGCCACTACAGTTTCCTGCAGATTCAAGGATGGGCAGACAGAATTTTAATTCATTTTTGAAGTAAGGCCTAGAGAAAGGCTACTCTGGAGCAATCCCTCCCTCTTGTGAAGTGCTTGCTAACCACATAAAATCGGGAAAGGATGGGGCAATTGTGGAAAAAAGTCAGGGCCAGAGCCCCATTGCATAAAGAGTAATACTTGGAGCTTATCTTCCTACCTGTGGGTGTCTGTGGTTTCCTATTAGGAAATGTAAGGCTGTGAAAGTGCTTTTCTTTCTCTTCTGGAGGGTTCTTAGCTGCAGAAAAGAAGCAAAAGGGTGACTGCGGCAAAGCCTCTCGGGGAACTCCCGCACAACCATTGTTTCTTTCATGTTCTTGGCCAGTTTTGGTGGTAGCCATGCAAAACTTACCCACCACACATTGTGCCATGAGGACCTGCTCGATCTGGGTGCTGTTTCTGCAGGCAGCCACCTCCATTTGACAGTGGTTCTGATAGATAAGGCCATCTGAGCCACACACCAGCTCCCCGTCGTAGCCACAGTCACGGGAACACATGCACTGCTCAAAATAGCCATCCTCTAAGCAACCAAAGATGCTGTTGCAAGGACCGGTGTGTACAAAACCTGCAGAAATAGCCAGGAGGGGTTAGAAGTGCACGGGGGGGATTGCAAAACTCTCAGCGGCTTGTACTGTAAAAGGCAGAGTAAGGATCATGAGCTCCCACAGCTAATTACAGGTAGTCCTCGACTTACAACAGTTCACTTAGTGACCATTTGAAGTTACAACTGCACTGAAAAAAGTGACTTATGACCATTTTTCACGCTTGTGACTGCTGCAGCATCCCCATGGTCACATGATTTGCATTCGGATGCTTGACAAGTGACTCCCATTTGTGATGGTTACAGTGTCCTGGGATTATGGGATCCCGCATTTGCGACCTTCTGACAAGCAAAGTCAATGGGGAAACCAGATTCACTTAACAACCGTGTTTCTAATTTAATGATTCGCAGTGATTCACTTAACAAATGTGGCCAGGAAAGTCGTAAAATGGGGCAAAACTCACTTAGCAAATTAATAATAATAATAATTTTATTGTAATAATAATTTTATTGTCATTGTATGTGTATACACAGTATACCCATACAACGAAATTCACTTAACACCCAAAGACCAGGCCCAACACACATAACAATCCACAAACACACCCCCGCCCACCACAATTCTCCACCCCTAAATCACCCAAACATCCACACAACAGACCAAGTAATGCTGTCCAACAGCTCACTGATGGTGGCCCTTTAGTTCATTGTTGAGTGCAATTATAGCTCTGGGATAAAAACTATTCAGAAAACGTGTGGTCTGAGTTTTAATTGTTCTGTATCATTTCTCACTCAGCAACATAAATTTTGGGCTCAATTGTGGCCGTATGTTTGAGGACTACCTGTACTTGCTGCCTTAAAACTGTTTCACACTCCTGGGGAAAGATTCCCAGACTGGTGTGGGACGAAGCCACCCAAACTCATCTTGTGTTGCGGGAAGGAACGAAAAGAAAGAAGGATGGCATGGAGAAAGAAAACGAATGATGTGTAGCCATCCTCTTTCTCATTAGCCGCAGGACTCACCAAACCAGTGGCTGGCCATACTCTCCACCTCGTTGCACATGGGACCATCGCAGAGCTCACGGGACAGAGGACTGGATTCGCTGACATTGTAGAAACGGGTGGCTTCAAAAGCTGCAGAGCAGGAGGGAGGAAAGGCAGGTTGTCAAGGTTGGCTTGGCTGCCCGGGCTCAAGGCATGGCTATGGAGACACATACCTACCTGGCTCATAGTAGTCATACACCTTGATGGGCAAAGGAGCTGTCTTCCCCACAATGTATTCCCGGAAGGCCATAAACTTGACACAGGTCATACACTGGCTTGGAATCTGCAGATGCGATTTAACCAGTGGTGAAATGTAAAATTTGTTACTACCGGTTCTGTGGGTGTGGCTTGGTGGTGGTGAGGTAATATGACTGAGTGGGCGTGGCCAACTATTTTTTTTTAAATAAACTTTTAAAACCATTTTTTCTACAACCTCTTCGGCTGAAGAGGTTATAAAAAAATGCTTTTAAAGCCTCTGATGATCCCAGCTGACTTGCCTGATCAGCAGAGGCTTTTTTTCCTTTTAAAAACATTTTTTCTACAACCTCTTCAGCCGAAGAGGTTGT